AACAGTGAGAGGCCTGCGTACCGAAAAAAAAAAAAAAAAAAAAAAAAAATAACAGTGGACACCGTGATTTTAATGACTAGACATCCAGTGTGGTAGTTGTAGTTTTCTATATCACCTGACACCCAGGTTCTCACAGTAGACATTTTTCTAAAGCCAGTACTTTATCCAACTGATGCTGAACATTGTTAATGTCCACCACAGAATGTTCTGGACAGTGGGTTACTCAATGGTCTATGTAAACAGTAAATACACTTGTTCTTGGTAAACTGCCAAGCCCAGTGTGTCAAAGGGCAGCCATTGTCCCAACATGCTCATGTGATTCAGGGCTTGAGCCCAGCTAGAGGTTGCACTGAGACCCTGGGACATTAAAACTGAAATTGAGCCCATGCCCTCCCCATTTTGGCCTCCTTCTGCAGGGAAGGGCTGGTGGTGCCACGTGGGCTTGTTCTTAGGTTCAAGCACCAAGGAAGAGGGAAGAGCTCAGGGTTCACTCTGTGTGTGTGTGTGTGTGGTGTGTGTACTGCTCCTCACACACTTTTAGGGAAACTCAGCTCCCCAGCAGGTCCTGGGGGCACAGTCAGTATGAACCTCCTCCTTGCCTGGAGCTCTCCCATGAGAGAATCAAGAACAGCATTATCAGTGCCTTAAACACTATCTGGACCAGCCACTTCATTATATAGGTTTGGAAACTGAGGCCCAGAATGGTTGCCAGGACTGCCTGTGGCCACACAGAGCACTCTTTTCAGTGAGTTGTTCAAACCCCGGCCCAGAGGCAGGCATAGGTTCACCTCCTTCCTCAGGGTCTGCCCACCTCCCAGCTGACAGTCCTCTGGCTCTTACACTGGGGCATAGGTGGTAGCATCTCTGATTCCTTCCCAGGGCTCTGGGGGTTCTGGGGCAGTGAACCTGCAGGCACCCACAGGAGGTCTGTAGAAGGGAACTCCTAGGAAGGCATTGATGGGTGTCTTCCCCACGTGTACCTGCTTTCTTGGGGGGGTCCCATAGTTGGTAACAACTAAAGGCTCCTTGGTGTGCAAGGCACCTAGGAAGAGAGAAGAAGCGTCACCCTGGACACCGAAAACACCTTGGCCCATCTGCCACGGGCACCAGCACCCACTTAAAGCTTTTCACAATTGTGTATTTGTCTACTTTTTCTGTGTTCCTTAGTATTTTTCTCTATCGTTATTTGATTTAAGACTTCAAAGTTATGTTGGTAGATGCGTAAAAGTTCATGTCTGTTATATGAATACTTTTCCGTTGATCATTTAATGTATCGTTTAATGTCAATAAATGTGTCATTTATTTTGATTTCTGTTTGTCTGATATTGGTATGACTATATATCTTTCTTGTTGCTAACATCCGCCTGGCATTTTTCTGGGAAGAAATCACACACATATATGCATTCTCACACATATATCCACACTCACATTAATATTTACATGTACACGCAAATTTATACACACATGGGTATATATGAGCACAGCTCATTTACAAAAAAAAAAAAACATGGGGAAACACAAGAGTTAAATGCGTGCCCAGGGCTTCCCTGGTGGCGCAGTGGTTAGGAATCCGTCTGCTGATGCAAGAGACATGGGTTCGAGCCCTGGCCCGGGAAGATCCCACATGCCATGGAGCAACTAAGCCCATGCGCCACAACTACTGAGCCTGAGCTCTAGAGCCCACAAGCCACAACTACTGAGCCTACGTGCCACAACCACTGAAGCCCGAGCGCCTAGAGCCTGTGCTCCACAACAAGAGAAGTCACGACAATGGGAAGCCTGCGCACCTCAACGAAGGGTAGCCCCCACTCACCACAACTAGAGAAAACCCGCACGCAGCAACGAAGACCCAACACAGCCAAAAATAAAGTTAAAAATTAATTAATTAATCTTTAAAAAATGTGTGCCCACATGCATATAAGTATAGTTATATATAGGTTACAATGTATCCATATGTAGCATACATTCACATCTGTACACTACAAGCATACCTACACCATAGCTAGCTCTTGCGATGGATACAAACTACACCAAGTTGAATTTAGACCCTCTGCCAATGGACACCTCTTCTTCTAAGCCCTTACCCTGCCTCGCTCCTGTTGCCGAGGGTCGCTGAGACCTCACATTTGTTGCCCCTTCCTGAAGCACCCCTGTCCTTTCTTTCTCCTCCTCCCCATTTATCAAAACTGAATTTTTTGAGAATTCACTGGTGGCCCAGTGGTTAGGACTCTGCACTCTCACTGACGAGGGCCCAGGTTCGATCCCTGGTCAGGGAACTAAGATCTCACAAGCCACATGGCAAAAAAAAAAAAAAAAAAAAAACCACCTGAATTTTTCTGTGCCCTGGTCCCCTGGAGGCTCACTCTGCAAAGTGACAGAAGGCAAATCTGATCCAAATTTTATTGAACTTGATTGTGCATGAGAATCACCTGGGGGAATCATTGGGAAATTCAGATTCTTAGGTCCCCCCTACACCCTCTGAAAGGGAATCTCAGGTTGCATCAGGAAATTAGATTTACAACCCTCTCTAGGAGACTTTGATGCAACTGCTTTTTGGAATAGCATTTGGTATTGGTGTGGTAAGAACACACCCTCACACCCCAGCTGCAGGTGGCCAAAAATACCTCTCTGCCCACATCCCCAGGTCTCTCCTGGTCTTACATAAGCAATATCCAAGCACAAAGAATTGGCTGTAACGGTGGCCCTTCAGGCATGGAGGCAGGTCAGTGGCAGCAAGGGACCATCTCAAATCTCCTCTGTGTATGTAGCCCTTTGCAATTTACAAAGCCCTTTCACACGGTCCTTTCACATAGCCTTCTCATTTGCCCTGGGAGGAGTGGGGTGAAGCTTGGAGGCCCAGAGATGATCAGTGACCAGCCTGAGGTCTCATAGGACAGAGCCAGGAGGCCAAGGTCTATCATATTACCCAGATTTGCCCTGAATTCTGGGTCCACTTATTGAATAGCCAACGACTGTGATTGACTGAGCCTTTATTATAGCTTGGCACTGTGCCAAACACTTATATGCTATTTTACCTCATCCTCCTAAAAAATGTATAAGGTAACTGTTACTATTTTCCCACTACACAAACATGGAAATGGAAGTTCAAAGGGTTATATAACTTGCCCAAAGTGACACAGAATGTCTCACATCAGAGTTCTGCTCTAAACAGCAGTGTTTTACTGTCCTCACCCCAGCCAGTGGGGGCACCTAAGCACGTGACAAAGTGCTCTACACCCCTGAACAGGAGCTGAGGTGGAGTGGTCTCCATCCCAGCTCTGCTATCCAGAGGCAATATGTAAGCACTTATGAAAACAATATTCCACATTTTTAGTAGTCGTAAAATGTTAATTAAAACCAGGAGTCACAATTTCCACCTAATAAATTACAAATGATGGCACCCAATTGTGGCAAAGATACAATGAAAAGGACATTCACGTATACTGTTAGTGTAGGATAAATTGATACACCACCGCAGGAAAATAATTTGGCAAAATGTATAAGAGCCATAAAACGTTCACATAGTTTCTGACTATTTTCATAAGGGGTCCCACTCTTATGAAAATAGTCAGAAACGCATTAAAAGAAAGACTTTTATGAACCATAGTCATATATGCTATCGTGAGTACGGGAAGCATTTTTTGTACCTGGGGACCAGGCAACATAAATATAACTATAAACTTAAGTTATAAACTGTTTATGGTATGATTTTAAGTGAATAAAAGCAGAGTATAAAATTGTATGCATGCTAATATCACAGCTATATACAAATATGCAATAAAAAAGCTAAGAGAAAATGTGCCAAAATGCTAAAAGTGGTTTTAGCGAAGTTTCCCTCAAGTTAAAAAATTTTTTAATGCGGGGACTTCCCTGGTGGTCCAGCAGTTAAAACTCCGCTTCCACTGCAGGAGGCACAGGTTCGATCCCTGGTCGGGGAACTAAGATCATGCATGCCGCGTAATGTGGCCAAAAAAAAAAATTTTTTTTAATGCATTAATATGGGCAAAACTTATTTATGATAGAGGTCAAAACAGTGGTTACTTTGAGGGTATTGACTGGGCAGGGGCATGTCGGGTGCTGGAAATGTTCTAGATCTTGATCTGGTTGGTGGTTACATGATGGTTTTACACACACACACACGCACACACACACGCATACACATACACTAATATATATATACTAATATAATACGAATTTTATATATTAATTTTGTAAAGAATATAAATATATAATCATAAATTATAAACATATAAAATTATGTAAATTATAAGATACATTTTATAAAAATGTAAATATAAATGTCCACACTCCCAGCTCTCTACCACCCATCCTTCCAGACCTCTAAATGTCCCTGCCCTGCTGCCCCCAGGAGAGGTTGAGCTGTTGGCCTGTCCCTCTGTGTGTGAGTATCTACGTCTGGCGCTGGGTATGTACATGCTTGCCTGTGTCTACTGGGAGCATCTACCAGTCCCTTGCCTGGTGGCTGGGTCCAGGTGTGCACGTCTGATCCTGCAGTACCCCCTGGTGCTCACACACTCACACTGCTCACAGGACCCTTCCTGTTACCCTGCGTCTCCCTGCCCTGCAGGGCCTGTTCCATCTGAGATTGTGGGTGCCCCTGGCTTGCTCCCCTCAGCTCTGTGGCTGCTGGGTCCTGGGGCAGGGCCATCGGTGGATGGAGGATGCCCTGGCCGGCAGGGGAGGGGAGTTCCGTGAGTAGTGGCCCAGGGAAGGGAGAATAGAGAGGCAAGAAGACTGGAATCCCAGGAGCACCCCTTGTCTGAGCACTCCCCCAAGCCACTGGGGCCTTGCCAGGCCATTCCCCTCCCTCCCCGTGAGGAGAAAATCCTAGAAGCTGGGGGGAGGAGGAGGAGAGGCCGGGAAAGTTGGCAGTGAGACAGGGTCTGAGGCCTCACGGGCAGGCTTGCCCAACCCCTCAGAGCCCTTTGGCAATGGTGACACCAAAGCTGGTGACATCCCCCGCCCAACAATCCCTGCCTCCCCGTGGCTGCCAGGTGTGCTGCACCCTCAAGCCCGCAGGAAGAGGCCTGTTTGTACATCCAGCATGGTCAAAACCGAGCCCTTGATTCCCAGCCCAGTCCTGCCCGCCTCCACGCAGCCCCGGGGTGTCTTCCTTCTCCCACCGTTGGGTCCCCTTGGATACCAGGTCTGCCTGTCACTTCTAAATCTAGAGCCCACCAGTGCCTTCCACCTACCCGGAAGCCCGCACTGGCCTCCTCCCTGCTCTCCCTGTCCCCACTCTCACCCACCACCTCCAACCTGTTCATGTCATCCCCGGGTTACCAGTCCAGCCCACAAGGGCCCTCACAGTCTGGTCTTTGCTGGCCTCTCCAGATGTACAGAACTGTGTTTTCTCAGCACATCTCAACCTCCAGGCCTTTGTTCCTGCTATTTCCTCTACCAGGAGCACCCTTCCTCTTTGTCCCCACCCCTCGAGCCTACTCCTCTGGCCTGTGCAACTTCTGCTTGTCCTTCAGGTCTCAGTTTAGATGTCCCCCCTCCCCTGTCCCAAGTCAGGGCCGGTCTATGCCTCCTCGCGTGCCTACAGCCCTTTGCGTCCCCAGTGACACGCTGTGAATGGGGCCTGTTTAACCTGTCAGGCTCTCTTATCAGCTTGTGGGGGCAAGTTTCCTGGTGGAAAGAAGGGGAGAAGAATAGGAGGACTTCAATGCCGTGTAAAGAACTTGAACTTGCCCCGGGGCAACAGGGAGCTTTTGAGCAGAGGAATGGCACGACTCAGAACCCCTCTGGTTTATGACTCTCTTTTCTGCCCCAAATGAACTTTCCCCAAACAGAATTGGTCTCACCTGCAAGTGTTTTTCATGTAACCGTCAGCAGCCAGGAACTTAGTCAGACTGAGGAAGGGTATGTGTGGGACCAGAGTTGGCAGGATGGGATTCAGCGGGGGCAGGGGAAGTCATTGTGATATGTATTAAAATCCAGATTTCTCAAGGGAACGGTGCATTGATCCTCAAAAAAAGAAATGTGTGCCCCCCACTGCTGCTTTTCACCTGTTGTAGTCTGAGTGGGTAGACCTCGTCTACCTCGTGACAACAGCCTGACTGATGCACTAGTCCAGATGCCTCCCCCAACCTGTTCTCCTGTGTCCCAGTGGGTGCTCCGCGACCTGTGCCAAGCAGCCCAGAAGGTGATCTTCCCTAGCTGGAGGGGGAGGAAAGAGCCCAGGCAGGCCATGAAGGGGTGAGGTGCTGGCGCTGGGAAGCTTGCATCTCACGTCCAAGGGTCAGGGCTCTGGCCCTGCTGGACTCTGCTCTGCCTTGGTCAGGGCCAAGACTGGGCAGCACGGACAAAGGGACTTCCCTCAGCCCTAGTCAGAGGCCTCTGGGGCCTCTGGGGCCTGAGATCTGTTCTCGGCTGGATCCCCTTATGCCTCAAGACTCCTCTGACTCCAGGTCTCTGCCGTCAGAGTCCGCCCACTCTTCTGGTCAGGGAGGACAACACCTGTGCAGAACTAAGCGGAGCTGTGGGGCCTAAAGGGCCTGGGTTCAAGTCCAGCAGTCACCTTTCTCACACTTTCTCAGTCTTTCACTCACTCACCAAGCATCCTCTGATTCCAAGTCCTGACTGATCCTGCTATGGGAGATGCAGAGTGGGGTCAGGCTGATTTCCACACTCAGAGAGCTTCTCAGAGGAGGACGAAACACTGACACTGACAATGCTAGCTTAGAGTGGGCTATGCTGTAATGGACACAGATAGGGCCAGGCCCAGAGAAGGCAGGGAAGACTTCCTAGAGGAGGAGGGTCCTCTGGGGAGCTTGAGGTATGAGCTGGAACTCGCCATGAAGCAAGTGGGAAGAGGGAGAAGTTTGGGCAAAGGCCCCCTAGATGGGAAGTAGGTGATATGTCAAAGGAGTCATGGAGGCGCTGATGCTTTAAGGGACATGACCACCCATCAGCCTGATTTGGGTTAAAGTCTCTTAGCAGGGGGTGAAGGAGGCTGCCTTGTTGGGACGTGGCCACCCCTCGGGTTGGCCCCCAGCCCAGAAGACCCAGGAGCCTCCGAGCTCCCCCTGGGCCTTCCTGTCCTTCTGCTTCTGCTGCCACTGCCAGATCTTGGTGGGAAGTGTCTCTGCCCAGAACTGCTGTCGGGCCTTCCTTGGCTTCTGGCTGACCCGTGGCACCAGGCTGATTTCCAGGTATTGCTCTGAACAGTTGAATGGGGGCCAAGGAAGCAGCCCCTTGCCATTGGGATCCCTGGCTGGGAGGAATGAATGAAGGCAAAGGTCTCCTGTATTGCTCCCTGGGAGGCAGATCTGAGTAGTCTAGGCCCAAAGCCAGGCACGCCTGTTTGCTTACTCACCCTGTCCAGGAAAAGTGGGTCCACTGGGCCATCATGGGGAGGCTCAGCTGCTGCTCCTCCCCTGTGGCTTCTGGAAAGGTTATGAGAGGGACAGACCTGGATCAAGGTCACGTGGGTCCTGGAGGAGACTCAAGGGTCCCCTCTGATGACCTGAGACCTCTGTTCCTGCATGCCCCGCCCTACCCTGGTGGAGCCGGCAGCCTAAGGATCTTGTGTCTGTTCATCCTCACCCGGCATGGAGCTCTCATCCATGAGGAAAGGACTCCCGAAGATGAAGGTCTTCTCAGCCCCATGACCAGCCCGCACCCAGGCCGGCTTGATCTTTGCAAAAGAACTGGGTCGATGCTGGAACTCATAGAAAAAGATGGAGACCCCAGAATCTGTGGAGAGATGGCTGGATGAGAAGTAGATACCCATAGCCTGATCAGGTCCTATCTTTGGTAAGCCAGGCTCATCATAACACCAAGACCAGTAATAATAATGATGATGACAAAATGATGAACAGCAAGCCTTTACTGAGTTCTTGCTAAGTGTTGAGCACCATTCCCTGTGCTTTATGTGTCATTGTTCATTTTATCCTCATAAAAACCTATGGATTAGCTCATTATATATTATTATTGCCATTTTACAAACGAGGAGACTGAGGCACAGAAGGGTTAGGTATCTGCCGGAGGTCACAAAGACAGGAACCTGGAGCTGTTCTAGGACTGTGTTAGAGATTAGCCATGAGGTTTGGAGGAAGCAAGACTTTTCTCCCAGGAGAAGGGCCGAAAGCAGAAGAAATCACTCATGAGTCAATTGAATCCCTGAGAATTGGTGATAAGTCCTGCTGGGTGACCTTTGGCAAGTCACTGCACCTCTCTGTGCCTTGGTTTTCTCCTCTGCAGTGTGCCCTGCCAGAGTCGCCTCTCCTTGCTGTGACACTGCATCCCTGAGAGGAAGTGGAGAGTGGGGGTAGCAGTGGAGCGTGGCACCATGTCACTTGTGATAACTCAGCTCCTGGGCCCAAGTGGGAAAGGTGGGACAGGTAGACAAGGATAGGCTTACCTTGGAGGTTTCTGGAAAAATTCAATGTTCATGACAACGTTGCTTATCAATTCCTGGAAGCCTTCTCAATTGGTTTGTCCATCTGAGCTGCTGCGTAGTTATTCATCTATGATGGTGGTATCACCTCAGTGGGCACATCCTGGGGCAAGAGGCCTGCTCAGGTCCCCACAGCCACAGCAGACCCTCCCAAGAAGCTCCACACCCTCCTGCCTGGCCTGTCTCATGTCCCAGGGCTCATGTGCCAGGAGCTAGCCACTTGCCGCCCTTGGGGGTTCTAGATGGTGTCTGGGAGGGATAAGGTTAGATCTGGAGTAAAATGCTAGCTCTGCGATCACTGCTTGGCTGTGTGACCTCAGACAGGTTGCTGAGCCTCTCTGAAAGGTAGTTCCTCCCTGGAAGGTTGTTTGGCAGCCTATGTGAAGCACAGTGTTCTGGCCTGGAGCAGGTGCTCAGTTGAAGTTAACCAGGAAGTTAGTGAGAGAACAAATCATGGGCACTCCCCACAGCTCCAGAGAGCAGTGATGAGGTTGTGTGAATGAGGAGGGCTCTGGGGGGGTCTCAAAGAAGGGAAATGCACATAGAGCACCTCCTGGATACCAGCTCCTTGGCAGACTCTTCAAATGCAGCATCCAGTATCCTTCTTAAACAGCTCACATGGGTGGGATGTATCATCCCCATTTACAGGTGAAAAAATGGGCTCAGAGGGGTTAGGATAACTGTGGACAAGTAGCTAGGGTTGGGATTTGACCCCAGGTCCACCTGGTTTCACATCTGACAATGCAATCTTAATAGCTGAAGCTCTGGGATCAGACAACTGGCTCAAGCTCTGCCTCTGCCCTTTACCCATCATGAGACCTGGAGCCTCAGTTTCCTCATCTCTAAAATAAGGATAATGAAAGTCCCTACTTCACAGGGTTGTAATGAGGATAGAAGGAGATGAATGCCTGTCCCAGTGCTCAGCACAACACAGTTCCTGGCAGAGAGTATGTGCTCATTAAGGGGCAGTCTAGGGCTTCCCTGGTGCGCAGTGGTTGAGAGTCCGCCTGCCGATGCAGGGGACAAGGGTTCGTGCCCCGGTCTGGGAAGATCCCACATGCCCTGGAGCGGTTGGGCCCGTGAGCCATGGCCGCTGGGCCTGCGCGTCCGGAGCCTGCGCTCCGCAACGGGAGAGGCCACAACAGTGAGAGGCCCGCATACCGCAAAAACAAAAACAAAAACAAAAACAAAAACAAAAACAAAAACAAAAACAAACAAACAAAAGGGGCAGTCTATGATGAAAATGATGGTGATGATGATGATGGTGATGATCTTCCTTTGAGAACCATGTTGACTCATGTCCAAGGGGATTCATGGATAGAACTAAAATTCAGCATTTGGCCCACAGGGCTTGGTGGTAGGTAGGTAGCTGTGGGTGCTGGAGGGGAGGAGGAGAGACTACGCTGGGTTCGGCCCCACTGGACTACCCCTTCCTGCCTTCTGCCAAGTAGGGCCTCAGGATGGCCAGCATGTCCTCCAGGCTCCTGTGACTCATCTTATCCAGCCCTGCAGGGACTGCAAAACCCTCTCAGTGCAGCCTGATCACCGCCCATGCTCCCCCACCCGCACCTTCCCACCCAGCTCCCAGCCAGGAGTAGGCAAGTGTTCACAGCCCTGCAGCCATGAGCTCGTCACAGAGCCCAGTGTGGCCAAACCCACTAGTCTGCAGACCCCCCAAAATAAACTTCAAACTGGGGAGGGAGGGAAAAGCACCAAGTACAACAGGCAAGTGGCTAACAGCAATCTCAGAATTTGTTCAATATTTTCATAGAATAACATCAAGACCCCCCCAGGTGCTGTAGCAGGGGCTACAGGGAAAGTTCAAATGCTGTCTTTACAATCAAATGTTGGTTACAGTTTTAACGGCGCAGTCTCTGTGTTCAAATCCCAGCTCTGCCACTTACTGGGTGCATAACCTGGACCACTTAAATTCTCTGTGTCTCAGTTTTTTTTTTTTTAAACAATTCAGACTTTCTTGTTTATTTTTTAAATTTTTATTTATTTATTTGGCTGCACTGGGTCTTAGTTGTGGCACACGGAATCTTCATTGCCGTGTGCAGGATCTTCGTTGCAGCATGTGGGATCTTTAGTTGTGGCATGTGGTATCTAGTTCCCTGACCAGGGATCGAACCCGGGCCCCCTGCATTGGGAGCGTGGAGTCTTAGCCACTGGACCACCAGGGAAGTCCTCTCAGTTTCTTAATCTGTAAAAGGAGTGACAATATCCTGCCTCATAGGATTGTTGTTGTGGACTGAGTTAAAGGCCCTGACAGAGTAAGCGTGATGGAAAGGTTAAAGTTATTAAAGTTAATTTCATGGCTCCTAGGCTCTTTGTTAATCTTTGTAAGAGCAGGAACAGAAAATCCACAGATGAAGAAACACAAAGAGGGTATACCCAAAGGGAGACATTAATCTTCACTAAGAATTAAAGGACTAAACTAAGTCCCAGAAGCTAAAGTAGCAAAACTTATTGTACAAGTTGCTCTACAAGATCCATATACAAAATCCAATGGTGTTTCTATACACTAGCAATGAACAATCTGAAGATGGTGTTAAGAAAACCGTTCCATTTACAATAGCATCAAAAAGAATAGAATACTTAGGAATAAATTTAATAAGGGAAGTTCAAGACTGTACATTAAAACCTAGAAAACATAATTGAGAGAAATTAAAGAAGACCTAACTAAATGGAAAGATGTTCCACGTTCATGGGTTAGAAGACTTAATATTGTTAAAATGGTAATACTTCCCAAACAGATCTATACATTCAGTGTGATCCCTATGAGAATCTCAGCTGCTTTTTTTTTTTTTTTTTTCAGAAATGAACAAGCCGATCATAATTCACTTGGAAATGCAAGGGACCCAGAATAGCCAAACGATTATTATGGATTGATATGTGTCTCCATGTAAAATATATGCGGAGTCATAACCCCCAGTACCTCAGAATGTGACCTTATTTAAAAATAAGGCCGTTAGTCAAATTAAGATGATTACAGAGGTAATCATTCGGGTGGGCCCTAGTCTAATATGCCTGGTGTCCTTGTAAAAGGGGGAAATTTGGACACAGAGACAGACGGGTCAGAGGGAAGACAATGTGAAGCCAGAGGGAGAATGCCATCTATAAGCCAAGGAATGTGTGAGGCTACCAGAAACTAGGAAAGAGGCATGGATTCTCTCTCACAACACTCAGAAGGAACCAACCCTCCTGCTAACACCTTGATTTCAGACTTGTAGCCTCTAGGATTGTGAGACAATTAACTTCTCTTGTTTAAGTCACCCAGACTGTGGTCCTTTGTTATGGCAACCCTGGCAAAATAATACAGCAACCCTGAAAAAGAAGAACACAGCTGGGGAATTCACACTTCCCAATTTTAAAACTTACTCCAAAACTACAGTAATCAAGATAGTGTGGTAGTAGCATAAGGATAGACATAAAAATTAACAGAGTAGAACTGAAAGCCCAGAAACAAGCTCCTTCATTCATGACCAATTGATTTTCAGTAAGGGCACCAAGACAGTTCAATAAGTAAAGAATAGGTTTTTTTCAACAAATGATGCAGGGACAGCTGGATAACCACAAGCAAAAGAATCACTAATTCATACCATATACAAAAATTAACTTCAGATGAATGTAATTCATTCATGTAACAGCTAAAACTATAAAATTCTTAGAAAAAATCATAGAGGTAAATCTTTATGACCTTGGATTAAGCAATCATTTTTTAGATGTGACACAAAAAGGCCAAGCAACAAAAGAAAAAATAAATTAAACCTCAACAAAATAAAGAATTTTTGTGTTGCAAAGGTTACTGTCAGCAAAGTGAAAAGACAACCCACAGAATGGGAAAAATAGTTGCAAATCATATATTGGATAAGAGACTTGTATTTAGAATATATGTAAATCTTTGCCACTCAACAATAAAAAGGCAAATAATCCAAACGGTCAAAAGATTTCAGAAGACATTTCTCCAAAGGAGATATAAAAAGGGCCAATAAGCGCATGAAAATATGTTCACTATTTTAGTCACTAGGGAAGTGCAACTCAAAACCACAATGAGATACCACTTCATACCCACTGGGATGACTACAATCAAACAAAAGATATTAACAAGCATTGGCAAGGATGTGGAGTAATTGAAATCCTCACACGCTGCTGGTGGGAACGTAAGATGGTGCAGCTACTTTGGAAAACAGTTCAGCAGTTCCTGAAATGATTAAACAAAGAGTTGCTATATGACCCAGAGTTTCCATTCCTAAGTATATAACCAAGAGAAATTAAGTCATATGTTTGCACAAAAACTGGTACATAAATGTTCTTAGTAGGGGAATCCACAATATCCAAAAATGTGGAAACAACCCAACTGTCTATCAACTGATGGATGGATAAACAAAATGTGGTATATCCATACAACAGACTATTCAGCCACAAAAAGGAATGAAGTACTGATATCTGCTACAACATACATGAACCTTGAAAACATTATATTAGATGAAAGAAGTCATACACAAAAAACCATATACTAGGATTTCCCTGGTGGTCCAGTGGGTAAGACTCCGAGCTCCCAATGCAGGGGGCCCCAGTTCCATCCCTGGTTGGGGACCTAGATTCTACATGCATGCCACAACTAAGAGTTTGCATGTCGCAACTAAAAGATCCCGCATGCTGCAACTAAGACCTGGCACAGCCAAAATAAATAAACAATATTTAAAAACCAAATAACCCCCCCAACCCCCCCCAAACCCATATATTGTATGATTCTATTCTATGAAATGTCCAGAATAGGCAAATCCATAGATTTGACAGAAAGTAGATGCGTGATTGACAGGGGCTGGGGGTGGTGGTGCGGGGAGGGATGGGAAGTGACTGCTAATGGGCACCGGCTTGCTCTTGGGTGATGCTGATGCAAATGTTCTGGAATAAGATAGTGGTGATGGTTGCACAACTTTGTGAGTATACTAAAAACCACTGAACTGTACACTTTAAAGGGGTAAATGTT